TGGGCCCGTCTACCTCCACCGGCCCCCGCCGCAGGCCTACCTGCGTCTGCTTGTCTCTGCCGCCGGGCCTGTCTACCTCTGTGGGCCGGTTAATGTAATTCTTGACTGTATATATTGTATATACTTATTGGATATAGTTTTTCTTGTATTAGTTATAAGCTTTTTTAATTTTAGACAAAAAAGGGGAAATGTGGTGGTATTGTGTTCTCCGAAATATTGTTCACTCTAATAAATTTATCTGGGGTCAGAGACAGAACAGTCACAATATTAAACATAGAGGATAGGCAGTGGTAGCACACCCCTTTAATCCTAGCATTCCAGAGGCAGAAATCCCTTTGGATCTCTGTGAGTTCAAGGCCACATTGGAAACAGCCAGGCATGGTGACTCATGCCTTTAATCCCAAGAAGTGAGCCTTTAACCCCAGGGAGCGATGGCAAAAACAGAAAGATATATAAGGCGTGAAGACCAGAAACTAGAAGCATTTGACTGGTTAAGCTTTTAGGCTTTTGAGCAACAGTTCAACTGAGACCCATTCTGGATGAGGACTCAGAGGCTTCCAGTCAGCGGAGGAACTGGCGAGGTGAGGTGGCTGTGGCTTGTTCTACTTATCTGATCTTTCAGCATTCACCCCAATACCTGGCCTCAGGTTTGATTTTATTAATAAGAACTTTTAAGATTCCTGCTACAAGTGTCCTCTGACACAGTAAAGGGCATCTGGTCCCTTGGAACTGCAGATACAGATGGTTGTGGGTGCTAGAAATCAAATCTGGGTCCTCTGGAAGAACAGCCAGTGCTCTTAACTTCTGAGCCATCTCTCCACCCCTGTTTCTGTATTCTTATTTAAACAAAGTGTTGTGGCATATTTGTATAATTCCTGAATTCAGGAGTGTGAGGTTTGGAAGGTCACGAGTTTGAGGCTACATAGCAAATCTATTATATCCATTCTTTTCTACTTAGACTTGCTTTGAGGCCTAGAATGTGGTCTGTTTTAAGGATGAAAATAATGTGAATTCCTTTTGTATTGGATAGAGTGTTCTCTGTACATCTTTTTAAGTTTGATTTTGGGGATAGTTTGTATCTGGGATTTCTTTGTTGTACTTAGATAACCCATTTAGAGTTTGGATAATCCATGTAGTGTTAAGAGGTGGGTACCAAAGTTACCAATTATTATTTTATCAGGATGGATCAATGGGTTGCCCAGTAGGATGTACATTTACTTATGTATTTGGTAGAATATTTTGTATACATCTATTCAATTAATTTGCTTGGTGGCATGTAAAATTTTAGAGTTTTTTGCTAGATAATTTTGAGTTTGAATGACTTGTCTAAAGATGAGAGTGAGGTATTTAAATCTCTTACTTTTGTGTTTGTTTTATGAAATTGAGAGCCACAATATTTGGTAGATGTCTTACTTACTGTTTTACTGCTGTGAAGAGAGACCACAACCAAGGCAACTCTTACAAAAGGAAGCATGAACTGGGGACTTGCCTACAGTTTCAGGGGGTTGGTCCATGATCATCATGGTGGGAAACATGATGATGTGGTGATATTTTATTTGTGCACCCCAATAAAATTTATCTGGGGATCAGAGAACAGAGCCAGCCACCAAATTAGACATAGAAGTAAGGCATCATGGCACACGCCTTTATTCCCGTCCCTCTGGGAGGCAGAGATCCATCTGGATCTCTGTGAGTTCAAGGCCACACTGGAAACAGAGCCAGGCAAGGTAACACACACCTTTAATCCCAGCACTAGAGGGGAAGGAAGATGGCAGGGCACAGAAAGGTATATAAGGCACAAGTAAACAGGACGTCTTGCTCTGGAGGCTGAGGAGTTGGTAAGGTGAGGTTGGCTGGATTTGTTGTTTCTCTGATCTTCCAGCTTTCACCCTAATATCTGGCTCTGTTTTTTTTTTTTTATAAGACCGTTTAGCAATTCGTATTACATGATGATATGGAGGCAGGTGCTAGAGCAGTAGCTGAGAGCTAATAACTGATCCATAGGCAGAGAGAGAGACTAGACTTGGCATCAGCTTTGTGAAATCTCAGAGCCTACCTCCAGTGGCACACTTCCTCCAACAAGGCCATGCCTTCTAATCCTTCTTCTTCTTCTTTTTTTTTTTTTGTATTGATTCTTTGTGGATTTCACATCATGCATCCTGATCCCATTCATCTCCCCATCCCTTTGCATCTGCCCTCTGCCCTTGCAACCTCCCCCAAAATAAAATAAAATAAAGCTTGAAAGAAAAAAAAAAATCTCACTGTGGAAGCTGTGGTGTGACACAGTGAGTCACACAGTATACATACCCTTTAGTTCATACATCTTTACTTGCAAGTGTTCATTGCAATGAGTTGGTCTGAGGCCTCTGGTTTCTGCTACATTATCGATGCAGGACCCCCATTGGGACTCCTCTTGGATATCCTGTTGTTGCCCTGTGTCATGGAGATCCTGCAGCTTTGGATCTGTAGGATGGGCCCCTTCATAGGCTCCAACAGTTCACAGATGGGGTAGATGTTGGGGTGGGCCAACTCACAGCCCTGGGTCTGGGCCTGGGTGGCAGCTGGGTTGGTCAACCCGCCAGCCCTCCCTCATCCTCACCACCAGGGTGAGCTCTCCAGCACTCCCACCCCCAGCTAACTCAACCAATGCCGCAGGCAGCAAGGGGCAGGGCCAATTATCCTGCTCTCAGGACCTTGGGGTGGCTCACCCACATCCACACTACCAGGGCCAGCTCCACTGTGTTGCCTGGGCGAGGTGCAGGTCCTGCTCTCCCAAGTGCTGCAGCTGGTGAGGGCAGGACCAGCTCTCCCATTCGTATACCCCTGAGACCAGCTCTCCCACCTGCTGCAGATGGCAAGGGATGAGGGGTAAAGGGCAAGGGGTGAGGGGGGCATCTCTCCCTCACGCACACCAGTGCATGGCAGATGAGGGGAGGGGCCCCATGCCCCATGCTCGCATTCTTGGCCTGGCTCACCAGTGCCCCTATCAACAGGTCTGCTCTACTACTGTGCTGCTCAGGCAAGGTACAGGGTCTGCTCTCCTAAATGCCCTGCACCTTGCCTAGGCAACAGAGTAGAGTTGACCCCACGGGGGCTCAGGCGAGCTGGCCCTGAGGGCATGAGAGCTGGAGAGCTGGCCTTGACCCCCTTCATCTGCCATATATGAGTCATGGCATGGGTGAGGGAAAGATGCCCTTTCCCCTCCACCCCTCCACCTACAGCAGGAAGGAGAGCTGGCCCTGTCCCTCACCAGCTGAAGCACCCTGGAGAGCAGGCCCTTCTAATCCTATCAAAGAGCTCCACCCCTTGGTGACTAAGGACACAAATATATGAGCCTATGGGGGCCATTCTTATTCAGACCACCAAAGCAGACATGTTAGTTGTGTCTCATGCTCGTTTTATGTTCGTGTGTATGTGCACCATCCTATGTGTGTGGGCAAACTTGAGTACATGCATGTGTGTGAATGTGTGTGTGTGTGTGTGTGTGTGTGTGTGTGTATCTGAGAGTGATGATAGGATTGTACCTCAGTTGCTCTTCCATCTTATTCTTTGAGGCTGGATCTCTCAATCAAATCTAGATCACATCAAAACTGGCTATCTCACCAGCCAGCTTACTCTAGGGGTCCCCCATCTCCTCCTTCCCAGACTGGAATTGCAGTCAGCCTTCCAGGCCCATCCAGGATTTCTATAGGAGCTGAGGATCTCTGGTCCTCTTACTGAAGGTGCAAGTCCCTTAACAGGTGAGCCACCCCCCCAGCCCAGGTTCACATAGATTTAAGAGTTTATATTTTTCTTGATTCACATTCAGTGACCTTCATTACCTCTTCTGGATTTATTTTCAAGTCTGCTTTATGAGGTCCCGGACTAGCTATGACAACTTATTTTCATTGTTTATTCACTAGGTGGTTGGACTTCCATCCTTAGACTCTCGGTCTGTATGTGTTCTTGCCAATGACTGGTGGACCTTGGAGACAATAGATGGCCGGATCTTATATCCAGTCTAGGCCTGCATAGTTGGTGAGTTGAGGACATTTTCACTTAAGGTTGTGACTGGGAGAGGTGTGCTGCTCTATGTATGTCATTCTCCACCCTCCTCCCACAAAGACAGGGTCTCTCTGTGTAGCCCTGGCTGTCCTGGAACTCACTCTGTAGACCAGGCTGGCCTCGAACTCAGAGATCCACCTGCCTCTGCCTCCTGAGTGCTGGGATTAATGGCATGGACCACCACAGCCTGGCTCCTTTTTTCTCTTTATCAGCATTAGCCATTTGCTGTTCATTATGGTGGGCATTATGAATTCTTATCAGTCCTCCTATTCTATTCTATTCTATTCTATTCTATTCTATTCTATTCTATTCTATTCTATTCTATTCTATTCTATTCTATTCTATTCTATTCTAATTTCTATTTCTATTTCTATTTCTATTCCTTTAAATGAATGTATTCATTCCTACGAGACTTGTCCTTCCTCTGTGTATAGTGTTCCTTAAAGTATCTTCCAAGTCCTTGACTCGTGGTGATGAGCTACCAGTTCTGCTAAGTTATAAATATCCCAGTGATCTCATTGATTTTCCAAGATAACTTCTCTGAACATAGCAATTGTGGTTGGCTGTTACTTACAAGGCTTTCCATTATTATCTCGAGTTTTCTCGTCAGGGGCCGGAAGTTATTCTGAGGCACAGGTGAGTCAGCAGTTTTCTCTTAGAATTTTCAGAGCTGCCTCTCTTCCAGGTTTCCTGGTATTCTTTCTTCAGCTTGTTCTCGCTGATGACTTCCATGGTTTGAAATCCGATCCATCCCCTTGCCCAGTGTCCAAGCCCAGCTTCCTGTTTTCCTGCAGCCCTGGCTTCTTCCCTGCATTTCTCCTCTGACTGCATTTCCTTGCTGACTTTGTAAGTCATGCTGCTGGTCTCTTTTCCAACTTCCCTTCTGGGCTGCTGGCTTTCCGGTGAGGTCCTGGGTTGAACTCACAGGCTTGCTTTCCATCGTGGGGGACTCTGAGAATTTATACTGGTGAACCTTTGAAGAACTTGGCATTTTATGTATTTCGATAGCTTTCAACTGAAGTTGTTGATGAGACGGTTTTGGGGGAGAGTCACGTTGCCTTGTGTTTTCATGTTTTTTTTTGTTGTTGTTGTTTAATTTTCTATCGATCCCTTCTGTTTTTTGGGGGGGATCTTCTTGTGAGGAGCCTACTTTTTTATTTTTATTTATTCTTAAGCATCTACTATTTATTCTTTGACAATTTCATTCATACATGCAATGTACCTTGATCATATCTACCTCCAACTCGCCCTCCCATCCTCCCAGACACCCCCAACACATCCCTCTCCTACCTTCATGTCTTCTCTTCCTTTGGAAATGTTTCTATTTTTGTAACCCACTGATTCTCATTAATATTGTCTGTTGGCACAGCACCTGATCTTTTTGGCTTGATCTTGTGCAGGTCATGAGTAAACCATGTCATATCCAGAAGGAGGCATTCACAGCCTTCTTTCCATCCACTGGCTCTTACATCCTTCCTGCCACCTTTCCATGATATTACCGGAACCATGGCGGGGTAGGTGTGGATGCCTCAGCGGTGTGGATACTCAGCAGTCACTCATTCTCATGTCCAGTTATGAGTCTCTGCACGAACTGCTTCCCAGTGCAGAAAAGAGCATCTCTGATCAAGGCTGCGAGCAGAACAAATCGAAAGGTGTTAAGTAAATTCTAGAAGGCAGTTTTACAATGTGTGGCCTCCACATGCACCTGTACCCATTACACACATACCCAGCCACATACACATGATTGAAAATAAATCTAAAAATCTTACTTAGGATAAGTGTGGAAATAGGAACTCAATAAAATGAGGGAAGGGGGGAGGGAAAAGCAAAGAAAAAAAGAAAGATTAGATGAAACACAAGGAAAAAGAATAATGGTTTAGAAAGAAAGAGAAAGCAGAAAAGTTAAAAATATTTTTAAAGAAAAGAAAGACAAAAGCAGTATTTCAATAATGAGATTGTTTTAATGCAAAATTTGATAAGTATAAGAAGGAGAATAAAAAACACAAGCCAAACATCCCCCAAAACAGAAAGGTAGGTTCAAAACTCTACGAAAAGTATAGCAGAAAGAATAAAAATGGGAACAGGGCACAAAATGGTTGCCCAACGATGAAAAGATGCGTAAACAAAATTAAATGGGCGCACAGTTACTTACGTACATTAAAGTCAAATTACTACTTAAAAAGCCGAAACATGGGCGTCTTTAAAAAGAAGAAAAGGGAATAGTCTGAAGTGTCGGAGAGACAGACACTTTGTGGCGTCTGTTGTGCCGTATGGCGGGGGTAGCTTAGTGGAACTCAAGAAATTTCCACGGTTTACGCTGGTGCCAAGTCTGTATCAGACTTGTCCTGTGACTGGAGGGAGCGACGCTTCATTGGCCTCCATCCTTTGTGTTCTGGCGTCCTCTGCTGGCCACAATTAGCTTTGCAGTCTGCGGCACAATTTCCTTCCATCCCTTCTGTTCTCAGGCAGAGAGCCGGTCTGTTTCACGTGACCACAGGTGACCACACCAGTTAAACGCGACCCCTTAAACACAGCTTTTTACAAAACCTGGTAGAGCTTTCCGGAAGACCTGCAGAGTGTTCTCCACTATGCTAAAGAGTGAGATGAAGCACTGTCAGCTAGTCCGTGAATGAGGAAGCTCATCACCTCTCTTGGTCCTCCTGCAGAATGGAGCGCAAGTGAGCCCAAAAGAGTTGTGTTCTGTAGCATGCTGAGCCACATGCCAAGGGTGAGGCAAGCGAGGCACTTACGTGGGCAGCAAACCTAGGAAGGAAAGTAAACATCCCCAATGACCACGAAAAAGAGAATTTTAGTGCACTTTTTCATGTATTGTCTTTTGACAATTTCATAGGTACATGCTCAGTTTCCATCCCTCACCACACCCTTCTCCCCACCACTGAAACCCTTCTTCCTTGGAGCAAGCTCCCTCCTACTTTGATATCTCTTTAAAAACCGCATGCATTCAATTATGTTTATTTGCACAAGCATGGGGCGGGGTGGTGGAGGTGGGGGGTGGAAAGGGGGGTGGGGGGAGGGTTGTTTACTGGAATGTGGGCAGCTTATCAGTGGTTACACACTAAAGAAAGTGACTTCCTTTCCCTGAGCACTCATTAACTGCCCTCACCCCCGTGTGAGGCCTGATCAGCCTTGCCCCATGTGTGATGAAATGGAGACAGTCCCATTCTTGGATGGGCCTTTCGTAGACATCCATAGTTCAGAGGGTTGGTGAGTACAGGGCTGTGTGTCCAGAAGACACCATTCCTCAGCACTCCTTCCCAGCCTCTGGCCAGTACATTCTTTCTGCCCCTCTTCCATGATGTTCTCTGAGGCTTGAAGGTCATGATATAGATGTCCTTCTGAGGGCCAAGCATGCCACCATGCTTTGCTTGCTTCACTATGACCAGTTGGGTCTCTGCATTAACCTCAACCCATGAAAACCTTTGGTTGTGGATGTTGTGGAATATTATTTTAAGATGTGTTAAATTTGTTTATGCCGTGGAACATTTGTTTAACGATGCAAAGAAGTGTTGCATTCTTTTATGTTGCATTTGTTTAACTCTGTGAAGCTGTGATACTGTGCCTGTTTAAAACACCTGATTGGTCTAATGAACAGCCAGTAGCAAAGCAGGAGAAGGGATAGGCAGGGCTGGCAGACAGAGAGAATAAATAGAAGGAGAAATCCAGGGAGAGAGGATTGAGAAAAAGAAGGAGAGGATGACATCAGGGGCCAACCACTCAGCTACACAGCAAGCCACAGAGTAAGAAGTAAAGAAAGGTACAGAAATAGAAAGATATAAGCCCAGAGGCAACAGATAGTCAGGATAATTCAAGAAAAGCTGGTTAGAAACAAGCCAAGCTAAGGCTGGGCATTTATAAAAAAGAATAAGCCTCAGTGTGATTTATTTGGGAGCTGGGTGGCGGGCCCCCCAAAGAGTGAAGAGCTAAAACAAATAAACAAACAAACAACAACACATAACAACTATACATGGACACTAAGAGCAGACTAACCTGTGAGTGTCAATGAGAAGTATTTAGACAGCAGTTTGATCCTACACCCTTGAGCAGAACAATGGCAGGAGGTTCTTCCTTGGGGCCTATGACCACAGCCTGCTCACCAGGTTCAAGGTACAGGCATGGGTTTCCTGCTGTGGAGCAGGCTTCAAATCTAATGAGTGAGTGAATGAATGAATGAATGAATGAATGAATAGTCTTTGTTACTCTGGTGATTCTCATGCCATTTTTGACTGGTGGGCGTATCAGGAGCCAGGTAAGAATGTTGAGGACTTTTCTCCCCCAGCAGCTTCCACAGTACCTTCTAACACCACGAAAGCTAGCCAGCAAACAGGGAATTTCCACCTCAGATTCAGCTTGATTTCTCTACATCCTACAACTCACACATCCTGCAAGCTCACTGTTTGGGGCAGTAGGTCTTACGATCCGGTTATCCTGGGCAACCAAGGCTACTGGCAATAGCCTGTAATGTCGGGGAGCCTCTGGGGCCTCATTGGCCAACAGTTTGTAGGAAGGTACCTCACACTTGGTACTGGGATTTTCATCTAATAACCCTTGGCTTCTTGGAGGAGCAAAGTCCACCTATGTTGGGTACTTCCACTCCATTTTTTAAAAGTCTAATTTAAATAGACTCACAAAATAGTAGGGCCTTTTCATACATCCCTGGTATTGGTTAATCCCCCCCCCCCATCTTCTTTCTCTCATCCACATCTCACAATACCCAGCTCCTCCTCATCCACCTTCCTATCATATGTCTTCTGCTATGACCTTGTCAGAGTCTCTGTAAACACCCGGCCAGGCAAGGGAATGATCTGCATGGGGCAAGAAGGAAATGTGGTTCAACGTTACTCAGTTAGCTGGTGTTGGTTCAGACTTCTAGAGTCTGACACCAGGCAGTCTATTTTAGCCATATTTAAGCACTGCACAACTTGGACAAAAAGTTCCCTTGTGATAATCAGCTCAGTCCTGTGTGTACAACAAAGCCTGAGACACGTTTACAATGAAACTCTTTACAAAGTACAGATGGCCTCTTCCAACAAGATGGGTTCTGTTGACTCAGAAACTGCTCAAGATCTGAGTGTAGAGAGAATGGCTGAGGTAAACATAACAGCCTCGGGAGTCAAGACTGGCCTGGCCCTACAGGTAACAGAAGTGACAAGTCTCACGAGAATGGGTTGTGTTGACTTGAGAAGCAGTGCTCAGGTTCTAGGGAGGGAGAGCCTGGGATAAGCAAACACAGTTGTCTGGGGGATTCTGGGGAAGCCTGGCCCTACAGACAGTGAGAACACCCGGTGGTAAACTACATCCATCCCCAGCATTCCAGGTGGAAAACAGGTAAATATCTCCGTCCTTTGAAGAGATAAGCCTATGTATTTAACCTTCCTGGTTTCTCTAGTGCTTCTCTGTGTGCACAAGGACCTCATACCCTCTACTACCCTCCCTTACGGTGGCTTCCTCACCTCATCTAATGGCCCCTTTCTGTCTTCCTGGCCTTGATAGGTACTTTGGTTCAAAAATAAAAAACAAAAAAAAAAAAAGTGGCCTTAGAATTCAAAGCTAAGGTCAGCATATTAAACAGGATGTCTGACATTTGTCTAACTGGGCCCAAGTCACCTCATTCAGAATAACTTCTGCCACTTCCTCCCATTGACCATTGACCTGTATATTTTATAACTTTGTTTTACTCTAGAGCTGAATAAAATTCCATCATGTGGATGTATGGACTTTTCATTATTCATTCATCAGTTAATGACACTGTGGTGATTCCATTTCCTAGCTATTGTGAATAGGGCATCAGTAAGCATGGATGTGTAAGTATCTCTAGAGTAAGACATAGTATGGGGATATATGCCCAGGAATGGAATACCGGGGTCAGAGAGTAGACCCACTTTTAGCTTTCTGAGTCAGTGAAACAAACACTGACTGGTTTATACCCCTGCCAACAGTGAATAAGGGCTTCACATTGCCAGATCCTTGCTGGCATCTGCTATATTTAATAATAGTCATTCTCTCTAGGGCAGATGTAATCTCAAAGTAGTTTGAATTTTTCCTGATTAAACATTTGCATTTTTTCTTCTAAGAACTCTGTTCAGTCCTGCAGCTCATTTTAGAATTGGGTTGTTTCCATGATTAATTTTTTTAGTTCTTTGTATCTTCTAGATGTTAATCTTCTGTCAGATGTAAAGTTAGCCAAGATTTTCTCCCATTCAGTCCAGAAGGTTTTTTTTTAAAAATTTCATGAGGTCCTATTTTTGTCCTCTTTATTTCCTGAGTAATTGGTATCCTGTCCAGAAATTCCTTATCTATGCCTATGCCTATATATTGAAAGACACTCCATATTTTTTCCCCAAGCAGGTTCAGAGTCTCAGGTTGAGGGTTCTTGATCCATTTGGAGTTGGTTCTTGTACAGTCTGAGAGAAAAGGATACACTTTCATTGCTTTACAGGGGGATACCCAGTGTCCCTGGGACTATTTGTTCACAATGCTACCTTTCCTTCCATGAGTATTTGTGGTATTTTGGACAAAAATAAGGTGGCTGTGTTGTGTGGACTTACATCTAGATTATATATTCTATGCATTCATTTATGTTTCCTTTTAGCTAATACCATCCTGTTTTTATTACCATAACTCTGTTGTGTAACTTGAATCAGTTATGGTGGCATTGCCTTTATTCAGGATTGCTTTAGGTATCTGGGTCTTTTGTATTGCCATAAAAAATTTTAGGATTCTATTTCTGTGAAGAATAGCACTGGGGTTTTGATTGATCTTGCACTAAATCCACGAATTGCTTTTGGTATGGTGGCCATTTTCATAATATCATCCCCACTAACCTGTGAATATGGGGGGTCTTTGCAATTTCTAGTATCTTCTTCAATTCCTCTCTTCAGTATCTTAAAGCTCTCATTGTCAAGAGTTCCTTCCTGGAAGATTTACTCCAAGGTATTTTTGTGAGGCTATTGTGAGTGGAGCTGTTTCTCTGATTTCTTCTCCAGCATGTTTGGAATTACTCTGTGGGAAGGCTATTTGTTCTTGGATTTGATATACAGGAGAGCTACCTGCTTCTCTGCATTACTATTGCATGCTGCCACATTGCTAAAAGTCATGATTGGGTCTATAACTTTTCTGGTGGAGTTTGAAGGTCTTTTCTGTGCATTCTGTTGTCTTCAAGTAAGGATTATTGGATTTCTTTCTTTCCTATCTGTATCCTCTTTATCTCCCCCTTTTGTCTTGCGGTTCTAGCTAAGACTTCACCCACTATATTGAATAGAAACAGAAAGAGTACGTGTCCTGGTATTGTTCTTGATCTTGGTGACAATAGTAAGAACTTTATTCCATTTAGCATGAGGTCAGCTTCAGATTCATCACATAAAGCCTTGTATTAAAAAAAAAACAGTAAACAGGCATTGCTATTCTGCTATCTGACAAAAATATACTTCAAGCCAAAACTAATCAGAAGAGTTGAAGAAAGACCTTTCATTATGATTAGGTGAACAATTTGCAAAAAAAAAAAAAAGCATAACAATTCTCAATACCTATACATTGCATAAAACTAGAACCTGTCTCTCATCGTGCACAAAAATTGATTCCAACTATATCCAAAACCTGACTGTAAAGCCTAAAAGTTGAAAGTGCTAGATGAGAAGTCAGGGAGTGCGCTACAACATACAGGTAGGGCAAGGGCTTTATATAGAGAACTCTGGTTGCTCAGGAACTAAAGCCAACAATTGGCAAGTAGGACCTCATAAAACTAA